TTGCATTTTTCCAGGTAGTCCATTAAAGCCTCAGCGACGACTGCTTCCATCACCTTCGCGAGCACAGGGAGGAGAGTCACTGGACGATAGTTTGCAGGATCGGAACGGCTACCGCCTTTAAAAATAGGGGTTATAATGCCACACTTCCACATGCGTAAAGGCCCAGGCACATAAGCTAGGCGAATGTCGATGGGGGGAGAAGGGGAAACTTAGCTACCGTCTTTGATCCAGATGATCAAGATTCATGATTAAGCGGACGCTTTTTAGTGGCTCTCGCTGCTTAAACAATTCGGTGACATTAGTATTACTACAACGTGGTCCGAACATCGTCTATACGCCTTGCAGCTCATGTCTTGCCAACAAATCGTTGATTTTCTGCTTAGAAATCATTGTGTCCAATGTAACTCGCAAAAAGTCTGATTTAATAAGAAAATGGTATATGTAGCACGAAGCATATATATACATGCCCACTAAATGGCTCAAGCTTGAGAAACGGACTTGGTCCATGAAAAAGTTCCCATCAGATGCACACGCTCAGCAAAGGAATTTAGAACACAATCTTATGAATAGGTCCGCGATCCACATGCAAAAGCGACGACTGTAACCAACCAATTAGGTTAACATTATGGAATGTTCAGTCAACGTCAATGAACAAGCACAGCAAAAAGAAAATCGAACTTGTGAACTGCGGCTGAAGCGTACATGGATTATTATTACTCCAGTTGCCAGAAGATGGATAGCTTGCATGTGAAGTTTCATACTTTGTGGACATCAGTATATCAAAAATAAAACGATTCTTTACTTCAGTAGGTACGTTATTTTGCGACATTGCAAAGGTGATACAAAGTATTAAGTATTCACCAGGTTTTTCAATCGCTGCTCCCGCCGTTGGCTGGAAGACGCAAGGTCATTTGACGATCGAAGGATGTATTCTTACAATTGGACTATAAATGAAGCGTAGAAGACATGCTACATTATAAATATATGGGTGGCATATGTTTGCTCTTGTGGAACGACCATTTGTTCGGCGAGGTTCTTTAGCATCTCATTAAAGAATTTGATTCAATATGGATCAGTAAAGCAATGGGTTGTGAAATATGTAATATGTAACCTTATTGGAAAGCTAGTTGATTTTTATATTTTTCAGGCGTGGAATCTATGAGTGCACTCCTAGGTAGCTGGAGTCCGAAAAGTTTGATCACATTTGTCCTGGTAAGAAAACCCTTGAAATGTGATCCAACTCTAGCCAGGCTCTCGCTGGTCCTTAGTTACAACAGTAGCTTATCCCACAGTTATGCGTACCTCAGCAAGAAGAACTTTAAGCGAATATTTTACTTGATCTTTTGAAGGACAACAGACACTTACCATTACGAGCGCAACAGGTTGAGCCATTTTGTAAAGTGACCACTGTACTAGTTGCGAAGATGCAAATACACTACACTGTAGAGAAGTGTGAGGTTGTTCTTCAGTCATCGAAACCAGCATTGATCGGTCTGCAAATACGTATATCGTTACTCTTTGGTAAGCGATGATGACCGCCCCCTGCTCATTTATGTGAATGATTGCTGGACATTTTCCATGGCAGTTCTGTTTTGCTTACGTGACTATGTTGATGGTGCTGTACTCTAGTGTGGATCGCACTGTGAGTTCGAAGGAATCGAGCAGAGTTTAGGATAATAAAAGTGACTTAGTTATGTAGCTTGATAGCTGTTTCGCTTGCTCTAATTGATGTAGGAAGTGTCTGGAGAAGTTTGAAGTTGTTAGAGTATCTAATTCCAAGTTATGAACAGAGTACGCGGTTGGGACGGGAGTACCAGGAAGAGTGATGGTTCTTTCCAACATTCAACATCTGCAGCAGAGTAGATGAGATTTTTCAGCTGAAAACCCTGTAAAACCGCTTTCACTCCCTTTCTTTAAAGATGATAGAGCACTGCGTATATTTTGTATACATAATTTCAATTGGTCAGGTGGAAGTGGATACACAATTTTGATGTCGGCTGCAAATAAAATGGGGCGGCCACACCTTATGTAGTCGCATTTATTGTTTATGCAGATGAGGAAAAGCAATGGACCCAATACACTCTCATGAACCATGCCATTAGTGGCATTTCCGGGCACAAAACATTGTTGATTTATCTGTACTCTTTGCGTTCGGTAGTCCATGTATCAGTCGAACTAGCTAAATAGGAGATTGCTGATCTTAATGGGCACAAGTTCGACCGAATATTGGTTTGTGCGTTCGTAGCTTTTTCATAGCTTACTAATGTCGAGATCTGCCTGTCCATACTTCATGGTTGTTTGTAGATGCGATGACTAAGTGGTCACCAGTTCCTCTTTACCCAACTACACACCGAATCCCGCTTCGTAGGCAACTCCATGTGGAGAATGCACTCATATTTATCGCAAGTTCTTTTTGAGAGCGTGAGTATCAACTTTCAAATGCGGTTGGTAGTCCAATAACGTTTTCATTCGTCATACGAACAAAACTAAACTCAAGTAACTTTTGAAAACAGCTGTTCTTATGAAGATGCGTCCAGGTTAATTACATTTGAGCTCGCAGTCAAGGTATCGGTTTTTGAATGGATGCCATCAGATCCTGAGCAGACACTGAGTGCAGACACTTGAGTGCTAAACACATTCGGAAGACCTAACATTAGGATCCAAAATTATGAAAGCGTTTTGCCACGCAGATAGGTTACTTCAATTCTAGGCAATAAAGCGCGTGGCGAGTTACTGCGCCACCTTTCCTCGTTCAGCGTACCAGGTCCGTGACGGGGCTACTTTTACCATACATCGGCACTTCGGTAATTACTAAAGATACAATAGGCCATCGGCGTTAACTTATTAGGAGCCATTAGATCACCCGATTTTAATGTTTTGGGCAACCGCCTTGCACAACCATGCTTTAGTGAAACAGCACACTGAATTGGCGGTGCATTTGAGAAGCCGCCCTGATCTAACAAAAATGAGTTTTGCTAAGAGTCGTCGCTGCGAGTCTCGGACAGACATCCACCACACATCGAGGAAAGCGCTAGACGGTCATTTCGTTTGATTGGGACTCGTCAGTAGCGCGCACCTGCCGAATCCTGTAGGATTCAATCTCAGGACCTTACTCTTACGAGCCAGCGACTTATGCCACTGAGCCATGAGTGACGGCAGCGGACCGCCATGACTGATATCTAGCTGCGATATAGCGCGGCTCTTCCTCCACTGTTACGCATTCTGTGAATGTGCAGAGGACAGGGCTGACCCCCAGAGCAACAGCATCTTTCGCAAGCTGCCACCAAGCGGGGTGGCATGGAAGCTGCTGAGGCGATTACTGATTATTAGTGAGTAGTAGGGGGTTTTATTGGGTTTTTGTAAAGATTCGTCACAGCTACTCTCACGCATGCAGCCATTAAACATTCGGAAAAACGCTAGACGACTGTTTCGTCCTATCGAGACTCGTCAGTAGCGCGCTCCTGCCGAATCCTGAGGATTCAAACCCACGAGCTTACTCTTCCGAGTTAGCAACTTATGTCACTAAGCAATAAGTGATGGCAGCGGACCGCCCTGACTGAGCTCTAGCAATAAATTCCCCTACTAATCACCAATAAAAGTGTGTTAGCCAGAGCTTCGATGGACTAAAATCCGTGGTTTGCTAGTGTAACACTGGGGTTTTTCTTTTAATGGTACTCCTGATGATTTGCTTTCTAATTTCACTAACACGCAAGCGTACAGCCAGCATAGTGTTCACCTCAGTAGGCGCCGAGAGGGTATGATATAAAAGCGGCTGACCTATCTCCTTTCAAAAAGTGCTGGGCTGTATATCGGGAACTCAGACATTGATGTGTTCACTACTCTGCATATTTATGTTTGTGGTATATTTCAAAGTGTCTGTCGCTTTGAGGTGGTGCCAAATGCTTGGGGATACATGCCTTTTCTGCACTAAACACTTATTTCACGAGTACTGATATAGCAGCACAACATGTAAGCGAAGGATCAAGGTAGCAGCAGTATGCCATTGCGAAGTACCGACGCTTCCCAGCTACGCGACCACCATCAGTCCCGCGGTAACCGAAGGCACCCATGAGGTCGCCACCAAGCACATAACTTCGAGTCGATGACCTTTGAATCACAAGGCAGACATCTTATACTAATCGCCCACTGGGGGTGTCAGCAGTGATGAGTACTTAGGCTCCTCAGGTTTGGTAAGCGATCGGTATAAATATACTTCAGTTCTGGATGATGTGCTGTGAAGTTTAAGGAGTTGCGTTGTTACTAATGCATTTTGTAAGAGCCATCCCACTGGCTACAGAAAAATAAGGAGCCACTGTTGGGTCTTAAGGTACCCGCCGGATATCTGAATTGTGACACCAAATCTAGACTGAAGATACCGTTTACTTTGCATTAAACCACTATCAGTTGGATTACTGTGACAGCATTCGAAGTCAGTTTCACCCTGATTCGGGCTCTCTAGGTAGAGCTAGTCGGAAGTAAGAGTAGAATTATGTAGCTGTTACTTGACAGCCTATGCCCTAATAACTAGGTCCCTGAAATGGGCTAGTAGCACTTGATACAGGGATCAGGATTTCACTGTTAGGTTAAAGAGCAAGCGTCGGATGTATGGGTTGGTAGAAGCATTCTCAAGCAGGACCAAACTAGTCGTGGAGTATAATGCTGGGAGACAGCAGCATCAAAACTCCCCAGTTCTACTATGGTTCACACTAAATATCTCTTTGATAGCACCAGCAACTACACTGATATTGCTAGTGATTCGGTTAGGTTCGCAAAGATACAATATAGTTCATGTTGTTCCGGAGCATTTCTGGTTCGACCCAAACTGTGTACCAAGTGAATTGAACCCAGATGCCATAAAACAGGGTGTCAAAACCACAAAATAACCTCCTCTCCCACATTCATATCCACGTTCTTAATCATTCTTCTTGAATTCCATCGTTTGAGTGGCTGTCTATTAAATAGACCGTTTCTATTGTGGTATATTTAATCTTAATTTATAGGCCCGGATCAGTTTTCTCTCGCGCTCCTCCACTCCGGGGAAGCAGTCCTCATCGGCGGTCGCGCAGTCAGTCGAGCGAAGAACTGAGCGAAGTATAAGTCGCACTGCCTCATCAGATGAGTCGTGCTTTGACCCTCCGAGCGAACCAAAGCAAAAACCCACTTCTACAACACACAAACCGAATGCTTTCTATTCACAGGCCACCTCGGTTGCCGAGCTCATAGGAGCTAACCCATCCAAAGATGTGAGTTATGTCATCTGGGAAGTACGTGTTTAACTGCTTTGGCTCCATCTAATATGTTGGTCCATGAAATTTTCACTTCTTACTTCCGGGGTGTTGACAATATAAATGGCGGTGTAAGCAGAATGGTCCAGCTATTGTTCTGGTCAAAGTAAGCAATCCGCAGTAAAACTGATCTTTCTGTCACTGCACTAGTTTCGAACCTTCTGTGTTCAATCTGTGAAACTGTTGCACACTGAGCAAGTGTGAGGCAAATAGTTTCGCAGTGGAAGACCAATTAGAGTCGACTGCTTTTGTCCGATTAACTTTACCACACCCCCAACTAGCTGCTATTACCTGTTCATCGAGGAGCTATCGCCAACCTTTACTGAACTCGTTAGTGACGGACGTCCTTTCTGCTCCACTTTGCTGACCGAGTACCAGTATGCTGTGCTTTCTGACTGATCAGACAAGCTGTTTGCTATCAAGTTGAATGGTGCAAGACAAAATTATAAAAAAGAAGACATTGCCTGTTTGCCACACCGCCACACGTCAGTAGACTTCGTAACATGCAGCGCGGAATCCCACCACTCACCTCGGTTGGTTGGTATACACATATAGCGATAGAGGGGGCCAACGCCTTACGGGCCCAGTGCTCACAACCTTCTAAGAGGTACAAGTCTCGGATGCTATACTGGCCTCTCTCATTCCACCATCAGCTTTATCCAGCATCACATTCACAGCAGAAACGGTGCTGAAAAGCTACTATGCTTACGTACACACATTTCTCCTGGAGTGGATAACATTCACTAGAAAGGACTACGGGTAGTAGCCATGTACCTAGACCAACCATTTGCCAGATTTTTCGACGTCGCCTTGACGAACACGTAGTTCTGTCAATATGGAATCGGGGTATTAGAACCCCATTCCCAAGGGAAGAAGTCGATTTGATCCTGCCAATAACCGCCCAGTAACAATTCTCCCAGTTATCGCCAAAGTTATGGAAGCGATCATCGCGGACGTACTGATGGGCTAGCTGGAAAGCTACGGCATATTTGCCCAGAAGCAGCACTGATTTTGTCAACGTCGATCATGCACTACAAACCTACTGATAGCACACGACCTTTAGACCGAACAGTCAACGAAGGGTGCAGAAATCGAGGTCATCTACATGGAATTTTCAAAGGCGTGCGATCACTTTGCCCTGCTTTAAACCCTCCATAAGTATGACGTCGGAGATCGTATTGTGATGGATAAGTAACTTTCTCCTCGAACGGCGATTGGAGGTTGAGGTCCGAACACCTCTGTCGGAGCCAATTCGAGTGGAGTGCGGCGTGGTACATGGCTCTGTACTTAAACCTCGTCTGCTCTAAGTTTTCAGTAATGATCTGACGACGTTAAAATTGGGTGGGTGATCACAGGATCGACTGACCATGAGAACCTCCAGTGCGACCTCGGTGAGGACTGTAACTGACTAGTGAACAACGCGCTACCTTTCCTTGAGGATAACTGCCGCGTTGTCCCCATCCACCATCGTTACACCTACATCGACAGGCTTAAGGCGCACGATCTGAAGAGCACCACTCAGAATGTGACCTCGGTGAGCTGGTGCAGCACGACCTCGGTTGTTCCAGACAGTGAATTGGTTACAAAAGGAGGTGATCAGTGGAGTTGATCTCAGTGGCATAGTGCTCATGGTGTCAACCATGAGCCACTAGTCTCTGAGTTCCAGCCCACCTCAGGCTATCTCCAACTGATGAGTCCTAACCAGGACGAAACCGCGGTCATCGGGTGCCCGTGTTGGGATGAGCAACACTATAAGAGGTGATCAGCAGTTTGGTCTTTCTTGGAGGGCACTCGGGAGTTTGGATTCACTCATCTTCTCGCTGGTGCTCAATGCCAACCTGAATCCCCAACTCGAATACGCAATCCAGGCTGGTCAACTTGGCCGAAGCGTGACCCAGCAGCGCTCCAGACCACGCAACGTCGAGCGACGAAAGATGTAATGTGCTATCGTCACCCGTCGCAACGAGACTGGACCTTAACGTGGTGCGACGGTTTGCGTACCTCATTGACCTATTGAGTTATACTGGGTAACACATTCGGGCACCTTGAGAGCAACTCCTACCAGGTTGGTCAGTGATGATAGGTCAGACAAACTCAGTCACCTGGTCCTCCATTTTGAGGGTTTGAAATGGGATGGCGTCCATTTCTGTAAAACTAAATCATTGCCACCTCCCAGCTGCCTTGCGGACAGGCTTTGGAGCCAAAAGCTTTGGATAAGGATCCTAATCGTCTTCCTGTCTAGGTCTGGGCGCCCTGGCAGTATCTCAGCCCACATACAACCATGACATTTGCTTCAAACATAAACCTGATCCTGCATCGGCCGCCGCGCAGATTATCAAGGGTCGCCTTATCTGCTGCATACAGCAGGGCCGATAAGCAAAGACATGTTACTGCTGGCGCCTTCCTTCTTTCTTTCCCATCTGTTCCTCTTACTCCCATCCCGACCCCCATTACTAAACTTCCTTCTGTCATTCTCAGCTCAATTGACAACAACCGACTTGCTACTGGAGTAGAACCATCTGCAGCCACCATCCCACAGCACCTATCGGACGCCTATCGACAAAATTCCCTTATAAGGCCCGCTATCCCGTTTCTATGGTGACGTTCAACGTTCGCACACTAAGACAAACAGGTTAACAGGCTGCACTCGCACGCACCTTGGACACACTGGGTATTGATGTGTGTTTCGTGTCCGAAACTAGCATAAATGACCCTATCGAGGTTATTGAATCAACTGCACCAAACTTATCCACTCGTTATTGGTTGCACGCATCCGGAGACGACGATGCAGCACTCACGGGTCAAGCTGGTGTAGGTATCATTCTCAGATCCAAGGCTGAGTCATCGTTGGTTGATTGGATTCCGGTGAACAGCCTTTTATGTGCAGCCCGTTTGACAACATCAGCTAAGGTGAATTCGCGAAGTAGTACGAAACGCTGTTTGTTTGTGATTTCCGTTTATGCTCCCACCGACTGCAGTTCTAATGCAGTCAAGGACACTTTCTATCAGGAACTAAACGGGCTACTAAGTAGTGCTACTAGTTCAGACATTATAGTACTTGCAGGGGATATGAACGCACAAGTAGGGCGTCTGAGCTCTTCAGAAGCTCAGCTGGGTGGTAAGTATGGACTTAACGCCGAACGGACTGACAACGGCGAGCGTCTGCTGCAATTGTGTGCAGAGCACCAGTTGTTTCTTAGTAGCATTGCTTTTAGTCACAGTGGGCACCGAAGTGTCACTTGGCGTCCTCCTGTAGCTGGCCAGCGATGGACCCAAATTGACCACATTGCCATAAGTTACAGATGGCGTCGTTCCATCCTGGATTGCCACTCGTAGTGGAGTACCTGTGTCGATTCTGATCATGCCTTGGTACGCTGTCGTTTCTCCATGAACTTTACCGGGAGGCGCACCAAACGTGCCCTACGATTGGCAACGGAGAAATTGTCTCAGTCCTCGGTCAGGCAAGCCAATCAAGACGCACTGCATACCGAACTTTCGCTGTCTTGTCCTAACGTCACTGAGCTTCAGTGGAATAGGATCTCGGCCGTCATGCACGACGCAGGAGCATCTGCTTGTGGCACTATCAATCGTCACCGCACCAGTCACTGGATATCCGAGAGGTCGGTGAACCAGTTGGAAGCTAGAAGACACCTCCCGGCTGGTTCTGAACACAATGTGACCAGACGGGCTATTAAGCGCGAACTAAAGCAGAGCCTACGTGCTGACAAGCAAGCCTGGTGGACCAGTGGGGCTCAAGAAATGGAAGAGGCAGGAGCAGTAGGCAATTACCGCAAGCTCTTCCAGCTAATCCGCACCACTGGTCCCAGAAAACCAGGCGTCAGTGAGACAATCAGAAACAGCGCGGGTGCACTGATACACAATAAGGAGCGCCGTACGGCTCGTTGGGCTGAATACTTTCAAGTTCTGTTCAGCTTGCCCCCTGCTCCCGGACCTCTTCCTACTCAGGTGATGCAGGACGAGCCATGGACGGTTAGTTTAGAGCCTCAGTCGAAGGCCGAAGTCCGAAACGCGATCACAACCCTTAATCGTTTTCGTGCCGCTGGCCCAGATTCCCTCCCACCTGCATTATTTGAGGATAGAGTTGAGGTCCTCTGCAGGGCACTGACCTCCCTATTCGAACGTACCTGGAACGAAGAGAATGTCCCGGATAATTGGAGCGAATCGATTATAGTGGCAATATACAAGAAGGGCAGTCGCACGGACTGTTCTAATCAAAGAGGTATTAGCCTAACGCCAGTTGTGACAAAATTACTGGCCTCGATTATCGTTCGTCGCCTCACTGCGGAACGGGAATCTCGGATTTGGGAAGAGCAGGCCGGTTTCCGCCCAGGACGTGGCTGTATAGGCCATATATTCACTTTGCGGCAGGTGCTAGAGCAGCACCACGTATACCGAAGACCGACAATAGCTGTGTTCCTCGATTTCAAGAGTGCGTTCGATTCAGTCGATCGATCGATTCTGTCCGAAATACTTGCGCGGAAAGGTGTTCCCAAGAAATAGGTGAACATCCTTCGTGCTCTATACTCGAATACTACAGGCTACGTCAGGGTCCATGGTGTCCTATCGGATAGTTTTCGACTACAAGTGGCGTTCGTCAGGGTTGTCCGATTTCCCCGTTTTTGTTCAATTTCGTCGTGGATTCTATCATGGAGTGTTTCCTTGCGGAATCACACGATGTAGGCGTTGAAGTGCTGCTTGGTGAAAGGTTAATTGACCTAGATTATGCGGACGAGATCGTCTTGCTTTAGGACCATGTTGCGACGGCATTATCAACCCTGAATTATCTCTCCAGAGTGGTCTCATTATTTGGTATGCACTTCGCACCTTCAAAGTGCAAAGTGTTGCTGCAGGACCACCAGCCACTTGATGACACCTTGACGCTTGCTAATGAGGAACTTGAGGTGGTTGATCATTTCACTTATCTTGGCAGCTGCATC